AAGGAAACTGATTTTTTCAATATTTTACACTTCTCGGAAAGGACCAATCTTAGACCGCAATCCAAATGACTAACCTCAATTAGAGAAATCAGATCCCTCGGACCGATGACTGAGGGGGAGAACTCGACTGTGGCTAGAGACGTAGCAAGAGAAACGTTACAGCCTTCCACGCCCGTTTTCGAGATCACGTGCGATTCAATGCGATTCACGTCTGCTTCGCTGTTCAAACCACCAATCTGAAGAATCGTGATCAAATAACTTTAGGGAGGGACATGACTGCTGAAATCCTTTATGTACCGTCAAATGGATCTTGTTGAAAGCCGAAAACGGTGAGTCGATCAGACTGGCGCGATAGCCTAGCGCCGTCATCTCGGCGATCAGTTTTTCCACACTGGTCAACGACGGATTATAGTTGATTTCGGCCTTGCCGGCTATCAATGCTACTACCACAGACTGTACACCTGCAACAAATGGGTTGGAGAAGAACAAATCGGAAGGCTCAGACCGGAAAACGAGGTTCAAAAAAAGGCGTTATCTATTCAAGTGAATCAGATTACAGAACTTCCATTACAAACTATGAAAACTGTGATAGTAACATCGCAATTACTGACCTCTAAGTTTTCCAATATTTCTTTCAATATACTGTACACACGACGCACACGTCATTCCTTCAACTGCCAGCGTACACTTTTCCAAATGTTCGTTTCCAAACTAAAGCTGACAGTCATCAAAACAAGAGCGGCGTGACACAACACTGACATAATCAACTGAGCAAGACCGATTTATTCAAAACTGCAAACCTCGACGTCCAGCGCTGGTTCACCCAGTGATACCTCAACCTTCTCAGACTTGGTTGAGAACCGAGCAGAACCTTTCGCTGGTGAGACAGATGGCTTTGAGACTGCTGGGACATCTCTGACCACTGTAAATGTAAAACTGAGCCGAAATTTCGACAAAAACTACCAAGGTAAAGAAAGTGGTACGACACACGATGGCTACTTCGAATGAACATACTGCTACTCTGAGTCGTGAGCGAACATTGTGTTGCGAAAAGCTGAGCCGCGGCGCATATGTTAGGACTATATTACGCTGACAAACCTTTAGACTTTCTCAAATGTGCTATTCGGCAAAAGACCTCAAATGCGCTATCCGGCAAAAGACTGGTCAGAAAAAAGGAAGCATCGGAACTGACACAATGTCACCCCTTTATTAAATGGCACTGACCAAACGCCACTGATAAGTACAGTACCACTGTACTCTGGTGCTGTAGTAATTTCAGTTTTTTTTGTTTGTATTTCTACAATCCCTAACAAAAGTCGAGTGCGCGGCGCATTCCAAGAAAATTGACAAACGTCAGCCTGACTTTCCCTCTGGTAAGGAAACTCATAACTGCGATGACCTTTTGGTATAAGGTGCCCACTAACAAAAAAATGAAACAAAACCGATTAAAAAATAACGATTACATGATGCAAAGAAAGTTTGTGCCTGAGTGTCAAAGCAGAACGTAAAGCCGTAGACTTACCTTCACAACTGATCAGTTGGGTCTCAAACCCCATGTCATCTACAGCCTCCACAAGCTCATCCGCTGTCACAATGGATGGATCGAATATAAAAGTGCCTGCAACGAGCAGACAATTCCTATGCAAATGGTACCTCGAGGAATAACCGACGAATACCTTTTTCATCCTCGAGTGAGACCACCACAGAAAGAACTCCATCCCGCTTCGAAGTTGTGTCCTGGATGTTGTTCACGCAAGCATGACACACCATTCATTCCCTTGATGGATATAATGGCTTTTCTGGTAGCGGAATTGGCCGCTACGGAGATTTCGTCCCCTGAAGTTCATAATTTCGAGAAAGCAATATTCGTAAGGCCAAAACCAAGGAATGCGCAGACCTTCCCGAGTGTACTTTAGTTTCGCTTCGAAACCCATATCGTCGATACTCTCAGCCACACTCATTCCAGTCCAAAGTATAGGATCAAAGACGACAACACCTGTGAATGAATCCAGCAAGTGAAAGAGCCGAAGTAAAACAAGAGTAGGAGAAGAAATTCACCTTCGGCGTCATCAAGTGAAACCTTGCATGAGTGAATGCCTGGCCGAGTTCGCATTGTGTCTTGAATGTTGTTCACACAAGCATGACAAGTCATTCCACTGAAAATGCACGCCTTAGACGTTCTGATAAAGATTTCTTATCAAGGCGCTCACTTTATACTGATCACAGCAGTTTGTGGAGCTCCCTTTACGGCATTGTTCAGTTTTTCAATGGAACTGCTTGATGGAGATGGAGATGAACCTCTGAAAACAACACTATCTCACCACTTCACAGAAGGTCGCAGCATCTTTTTTCTAATTCACTGCTTTTTGGTCATTTATTCTCTCGGCCGAGTCACAGATCAAGCGGCCTGTGACGGTAAGATTCGATTATTGCATCATCAAGATTGCATTTTCACGGAATTTGGAGGCCAAATCTTCGACCTCTTTCTAGAAACATTATTTACCACACGGCTTATTACTTTATTTATCAGTGGTTTGCTAGAAAAACCACATATGTACCTTTTAACCTTTACTACCTTCCTTCAATTTAGCCCACATCTCAAAACATGGAGCACATATTACACCTAAATGCTAAGATGCTTCACATGATTTGGCAGCAAGCAAATCAAATGAGACAAATGGAAAATAAGTGGAAATAAACTTTCTTAATTATTGAGTGAAATATCACCGATTTCTGTACCTCAGAAATCCAAAATCAGACTGTAATGAACGAGCGATTGACCTCCAAACATCACGAATCAAAAGTTCTTACTAACCGCCGAGTACCCGACAGGAGGCCCGTCGCGCGGCAAGGAGGTTAGGGTGCGCGGACGAATCGATACAAAGATACATTCTATTCAACTTATTGCGAAATCACTATGCAGTACGCGCGATATTACGCTCTCGTTGTCACGCAGCAGCTAATTTGTTGCATGATGTATTTCTAAATGAATGACGGCGCTCATCCGGTAAGGTGGGGCATTGTGATGCAATGTCAAGTGGCTGCCCTCACCCTCCCCCCCTAGACTGCCTTCACTCCCCCTGGCTCACGGGTCCCGTACTTCGAGAAACCTGTGCGCCAGGGGGAGTGTAGGCAGTCTAGAGGGGTGGGGGTGGGGGCGAGTGAGGGCAGCACTTGATGCCTTAACGGGGGTTGAGCGTCTGAATGACCTTTTCAAATTCATAAAATTACCTCCTAAGAATAGTTGAATCGCCACCTTCGAAGTGGAACCATTTTCGGTAATAGCGTACGCCATAAACGAATTCTACTTTGCACATTTTGAAAGCTGCTCTGTATGCCAGTGGTAAATTTTAAGTAGGTAATATTAGTCCTGAGGTACATTAGGAATGGCTTAAAGCCACAGATTAGGACGTATAACAGCTAAAGACTGATACTGAGAAAACCACTTGTTTTGTCTTCTCCGAGCGATGTACAGCTGCAAGTGAAAGGTGCTGAAAATTGTCACTAGCCCGCTAATTAGTTGCACAATTTCTATATATTTCGTATCGCTGTTGATTTGTCCATTACCCGGGAGTACACGTCAGTTACACAAGGTCCATCAGTGGCGGACATACCCTCTCGGCCTCGTTGTAGCTGATGAACGAGGCGCCAACAAGCTGTCGTCCAGAAGACATCGATCAGCGCCATATTCGTTTGGCATGTGGGGGCGCCTTGACCTAGAAGAACCCTTGTAATGAAGTTTATCAGGAGAAGTGACCGTTTCACAGCGAGCAAAATATGTATATAATGAGAAGCAACAGAAACGAAGACTTCATGCGTCTATTTCGATTTAACTGGGTGACAAAATTACAAAAGACAAAGGTGACAAAATAGTTAGTGATGCAGCATTAACTTTACAGCTGCCAAACAGTAAACAAACCAACACAAGGCATCCGAGGTAAAAACAGGACACTGTGCCATGGAAGCGAGTTCCAGGCAACCGAATCAAACAACAACAGAACCATTCGTCGTAAGACAACCCCCTGTTGTTTGTCCGTCGGAGTACATTCTTGGGCCCATATTGGTCAGCGGAGAGTTACTCACGAACCTTGAGATAATTGGACTACACTTCGCTCACAATCTGACGTACACTGTGTTGCTTTTACCTCATTGTTCTACCCCAGAAAATGGACGAACAATTAGAGGATAGAGGATAAAACATTTGCCATCAATTTTTTGGGCTGAGGCACAATTATACTTTCATTTGTACATACGTCGCGGCACTTGAAGATTCGATCTTACCGCGCGCGTAGCAAGCAGCGCCACTTGCCACTGCACCGCTTCCGCCCAAAAAACGTACAACTAAGCCCGAACAATCCACAACCTTGAACTGATATTACTTCAATCCACAGGAATCGGTTGTAGGAAGAGAAAAATCAAAACTAGTCCTTTCACCCCTAACCAAACCTATTATTACTGAATACCCTCGCCAACCCTTTCCAACAAACTGAAGAATTTTCTGCATTGATAAACGACGCCTGACTATTATAATAAGAGAGGAAGGACCACAAAATAAGATCAAGACAAAAGAAAAGTCAAAAAAGGTAAATTGAAGCTAATTCGGAGTACGAACACCTGCGCGCTCAGTCTACATAAGTTTGTTAATAAATATTATGTCGGATATATATCTGTGCGCACTTTCTTCAAAAATGTTTTTCTCTTTAGTCAGACAATTGTTAAATACATAACTGCCATAATCGTCAAAACATTGCCCTTCAGTAGGCAACTTCAGAATCTTGGTTGTTCAGTTCCCGAGTCTTTGGGGTGAAAAGCTCGAACTCCGGGTCGACTCCGGAAAAAAAGTTCCCATTCTTGGGCCGTATTGTTCGTCAATCGGAATGTACTCACGACTGGTAAAGATAATGGACTACACTTCGCTCACAATCTGACATCTGTGTTGCTTTTAGCCGTCATTGTTCTACCCAGAAAACGACGACCCATTTAGAGATAGAGGAAAAACATTTGCCATAATCGAATTGGGCTAAGGCACAATTCATTCATCCATTACATATGTCGTGGCATCTTACCGCGCGCGTAGCAAGCAGCGCCACTTGCCACTGCACCGCTTCCGTCCAAAAAAAAACGAACAATCTGAGCCCGAACAATCCACATCCTTGAATTGATATTACTCCAATCCGCAAGAATTGACTGTAAGAAGAGGAGAAACAAAACTAGCCTACTCTGCCCCTCACAGCTTCGTCGTGCTATCAAGTTTAAATCAAAACTACATATATGTACGACTACTTCGTACTTGGCCAGCCAGAGCCAACTGGAACCGTTTTCACCCCTAACCAAACCTATTGTCATGAATACCCTCGCCAACCCTTTCCAACAAACTGAAGAATTTTCTGCATTGATAAACGACGCCCGACTATTATAATAAGGGAGGAAGGACTGCAAAATAAGATCAAGACAAAAGAAAAGTCAAAAAAGGTAAAGTAAAGCTAATTCGGAGTACGAACACCTGCGCGGTTGACTCCGAGTAGGTCCGGATCATCGACTGCCCCTATTTCAGTACCTTCGACGGCAACAGAGGCGTATGGTAGCCTGTCTCCAGGTTTGCTGAACACACTAAGTGGGTCAGATCATTCCATAACGAGCTTGGAGACTTTTCCTGAACCTTCTTCGTAATTCGTGGGCGAGCGTTGCCGACATAAAGTAAAGTTTCTCAGATTTTCCGGGCACCATGCCGGGAAACCAATCCACTTGCTAACATTATTGTTCACCAATAGCAGTGGACTTCGTTGGCAGCAGCTCTCCGTGAGCGAAACATTTGCAGCCTCATGAGCTTTCAATGTTGCCTCCCAGGTTACTGTTCTCGAATCGGCGTTGCAATCCTTTGTTCTACGCATCCGAGCCAGTCGTGCTTTCGCGTGCGGTTTATCTGAGGATCCCACTTCTTGACACCACCAACAAAGTTGGCGGATCAAGCGAGAGACAGGCGGCAAATCAAAATGTCCATGCAAAATTTTATGGTCTCAATAGCCTGTGGTCAGTCAGATCACAAAATATCCTTTCGCCATAATTTCACTTCTTTTCGAGGCGATATTGAGGAGCGGCCATTGTGCTCTGATAGCACTGAAAAAGCTCCGCCAGTTATCGTGCATTGCACCAAGGACTCCCTCCAATCGACTTCAGAATACACTCGTCACTGAGGGTGGCAGGCCGACCAGATTTGAGGTTTTTTCTCAAGTATCTGGACTTCGGCAACCAAATAATTGGCATGTTGTGAAAGATAGTCTGGAGGTCCATCACAACACGTAGGCCTCCTACTGCTCGCTTCAATCGACGCACTTTGTGGGCTTATAAAGGCAGGAGCAGTCGAACATACCTTCAGTGAAAGACGATTTTTAAGCTTCAAACGCTGCGAAATGCTACGACAGAAATGCTGTGGAGAGAGCATTAACCACCGCTCACATGCGTTTAACAGTGAATGTTTCAAAACGATCCCAAAAGATTTTGCAAGATGAACAAGAAAATGCGCAAGGAACTTTTCCGACAACCATATTATATAATATTGGCACATAAGGCTGTCACATGAGGAAGTAGTTTTTTTCTAATGGTAATTCTTCCTCTAACATTACATGTTCTGCATAATGTTACATATGAATCGAAAGAGAAGTGTCTCCTCTACAAAAATACTCAATTTCCTATCCAATGCGAAATTCTTCACTTCTTCCGGGCTTGCGAAATGGAAGGTCCCTCTGACGAGAATTAGCCAAATCGACAAATAGCTCTAACTCTGTTTCCACTAGAGAAATGGATCAATGAAAGACCATGTGCTTGGTCATGATCCCTGAAACAGAGTTAGAACTAATTGCCGGTTGGCTGATTCTTTGTCGGCTAGGCCTCCCAATTCACAAGATCCAATTCAACAAGTTTACATTGAATGTAGAAGATAAGTGAAATTTTTGCGAAGCAGGCAGTTTTCTTTCAATGGTATACATAATGGTATGAAAGCATAGAACTTTCGAGGAAAAATTTTGATCGAAGAAAAATGAAATCACTTAATGGACTAATAATAATAATAGACCTAATATACAGAAGAAGAAAGGCTGAAGCTGCTGATTTGCGGGACGCTTTACAGGATCTAGGAAGCAGGTGTGGGTCATGAGATCCCGAATGCGACGGTGTGGTAATGACGACACTGCAGGCGAACGTTGCACTACTAACCGAGTGCGGGGGCAAAGATGATGCTACCATGGTGCCGCGGTTATCGCGCACAGTCGTGAACTGACCCAAATCCCTGAGTCTAGTCAGTCAGTCAAAGTCACCCTGCTTACAAAATGTGTGCAATTTTTCAATGAAGCAACCTTACGCACTGCATCCACCTGGGCATTTTCTTTCGAAGATAATGCAAACTGCTGAATTTTTACTGAGCCGCACGTGAACGCTTTCGTATTAGGCCATGAAGAACTCTTGCAAAACATTATTAAATCGGGATCAAGCTTCAAAACTATTGAAAAGAGCTGGACGCGCCCCGCACACAACATTTATTCGTTATCGAAGCGGCACTGGTAATTGGACCCATATAATGATTTGGGGCGGTCAGCTACAGTGGCGCTCAAAAGTCTTTGGTGGAACT